TGGTGCTGGCGCTGGTGCTTTTGCTGGTGAAGGTGCTGGTGCTTGTGCTTGTGCTGGTGGTTGTGGTGGTGCCAGTGCTGCTGGTGGTGGGGCCGCTGGTGGTGTTCGTGGTGTTGGCGGCAATCATATTGGCAGCAGTGCTGTGGGGGAAAAGCGCAATACCCAACCATGCTATCCGTGATAGCCGCCTCAACGGAGGTAAGCTTGCGCAGCTGTCGGCGGAGCTCACCTTGGCAAGAAAGATTTGAAAAAACTTGTTCGCAGCTCGTGATGTTGCACACATCTTGTCGCTGCTGGCTAGAAGCGGTTCTCCTCCTCCTGGCTCCAGGTCCTCACTTGAAGGGATAGCTCCGACCAGAATCAAACATATGTCGAGTCAACACGTCCCGGGGACGGGGGCCCCGACCCCTAGTCTGCTAAGGTGCTTGGTCCCACTGCGCCGCCGCTGGCACTCTCTTGTCGTCCTCCGCTGCTCCTGCCCATGTAACCGCACACAAAGGGAATCAACCTTGAGTCCCGTACAGCAGCTGTCCTCCTGCGACAGGATAAGTGTCGAACGAATGGGTGGTGGCGGTGGCTTCGAAAGCCTCGGTTGATCTCGCACTCTCGCACCACAGCTCAAGGGTAGTACTGGAGTAGTTCCAAGCAGCTGGAACTTATCTGATCTTCCTTTCCTGCCAGGATGTACAACTAGTTATGGTGATAAATTGAAATTGTGCGAGTGGGTGTATCCATCCCGGGATCTAGCCACGTACCAAACAGCCGACCGGACCCAGAAAGACTCAAAACAGGCTTGCGGGTCGCGAATGACGGCACGGACGAGTCGGGTGAAGAAGCGTCCAAACCTGAATCTGGTCGGCAAGCTCTTGTTTACCAACTGGAAAATTCAGCCGGTGTGTTCGGCCCTGCAGTCATGTCAGCAGCCAGATTCATCAAACGGGCACATCTTCGTGCTCGAGATGGCAGTGTCTGAAAGGGCCTGTTTGAAGCGGTGTGAATGCATGATTTTGAACGAAGGCGAATGAAAAGCCGGGACTTTTGAACATCATAGTCCATACTGCTAAGAAGAAAAGTCCAGTTCGAGTGATCGACGTTGCTCCATGTTTCACGTCTCCGTTGGTCCACTGATTTGTACATGGACGAAGCGACCTTTGTTGCCAGCCTCGTGCGTTCCATTCATTTTTTTGTCTTTCTGGTACGTGACCCAGGGGTCGTTGGTATTCCAAGTATGCTGTCATGCTTCTGCGCTGCAACACTCCAACCAAAAGTCACCGACACGGACGCCGAACGTTCCGGACCGAGATTGCGTTAACACCCCGCCTTGCGCGGTAGCAAGCGCTGCCATCGCGCAAAGGACGTTGCTCCGCAACTGCCCCCACAATGTTCTGGTGTGCTGTGTGGGGATAACGGTGACCGTCCATGCCTCGTGCCGAAAAGCACTTCCAAGTGCGCCGAACTCGAGGCTCGCGCTTCCATTCTGGGAATCTTCCTGTGCGTGCAAACTGTGGGGATGGCTGGTGAAAACAATCAGGTTCACTTCGACCGGCTCTTTTGCGAGTTCGTGCGTCTCAGACACACCTCAGACTGCAGGCTCGGGCTTCCATTGCAGGAAGTCTTCCTGTTCTCTCGCATAACTGGTCCACAGTGTGGCATTGAGGTTATTGCCGCAGTTCCTGCTGCTCCTTCTCTGCAGCCTTTTTGTGCCATACGGTACGCAAACATCTTGCCACGCTGGTTCGCGTGACTTGCGATTCCGCAGCAGCATCTGGTCTTGCTGCTCGTGCTCAACAAACTGCTGCCGGACCAACTGCAATTGGCTTGCCACGTCCGACAAAGCTTCTTTCAAGCATTGAAGTCGCTGTTGCACTTCCCCGATCAACGCATTTGTTTCTCTTGCTGCTTCGAAGGCAGGCTTCGTTGCTCCTACTCGGCAACTATCTTCTTCAGCACAGCCAAGAGGAACAAGGGCAACCCCCCACCCCTCCGCGCGCGACAGTCGGCGGAAGCATACGGCATGGGAAACGAGTTCAGGGAAACTACATACACGATGGGCATGTCTGTACAGGGCTCTTCGCTACCCTTTTCGGGTGAGACGATGGTAGGACTAGCGCAAATTTTCCGGCCACCGTGGGAAAGGCTTAGTATGAAAGCTGGCTTTTGTAGGCGGATTCGTGACCACTCGCCGATAAAAGATGGAGCACCGGATAAGTCAATCGGTACTGGCATAGAGCATAGAGCACGGGAAGGCCGTCCGGTTCGCCTCATGTCGGCTCCCCTAGACAGCATTGTGGAACAATTCAAAGGGTTGCTGGGATGTTCCAGAAGTTTCCGCCTGCAGCGTATTGGGAGCCACCGTGTCCCAGAGTTGACTAAACACGTGAGCATAGGAAGCATGGTCAGGTGGGTTCACCATAGGGAGCTGTAGAGAGAAGCTCAAAGTGACAATCAAGCGCTCACTGTGGGGGGATAGTGTGGATCGTCCCTTTACTGGCTTGCACCGCCATGGCACCAGCTTCCTTCGCAAGATTGTGCCTCTTGTGCCAGAACCTACTCGGCAACTATGGCCGACACAACTAGCTCCAGCAATCCATCGAACATGTCGGCCTACCGCACTCATTTTCAATGTTGTGTGTCGGGCAATCATACAATCTCGATTCAAGGGCGCTCAACCGCACAACACTTCAGCTTGCCGTAGCTGACGCTTAACATGAATCATTGAATCATTGTAGAATCTAGGAATCAAGGTAAAGGAGGTTTTCAAACAATGTCCACGTGGAGGCTTTGGGAACATCCAAACCTGAGCACGGGCAATGAGCGGCCTGCTTTCTTCCGGCATGTCCGTTAGAGGCGGTGGCCGTGGGGGACGGCTGGGCCTTGAGGCCTGAACAGTCGACGGATCAGCAGTAGAGGAGAAGAGTTGGCAGGAAATTCAGATGGCCTTGGAAGTCTCCGGTGCATGGGGTGCCGAAACGAAGAGACGCTTCAGCTCCTCCTGGACAACCTCGCCTCAGCTCAGCGAGGTATAACTGTTGCGAAAACGAAAGAGGTCAGCACCAGCAGAAGCCGATTCGTCGACGTTTACGGGGAGCTCTCACTTCCTCGTCTACACATCGCAACGCCTGCGTCCTGTCTTAATTGGACATCGCGACGGAGTCACAGCGATCATTGCCTTCCAGACGTGAGGACGCGGTTGCCTTTGCCATGCCCACGAAATTGTCGGGCCTTTGTTGCAACAGGCAGGTTTCATGCTCCGAAAGCTAGTGCGAAACTCGATACTTAGCCCAGCGGCAGCACCACCGACAGGTCCGAGAATTCCATGGCGCGGCAGCGCTGGTCAAGTCAGATTTCAGGTCTTGGTGTTATGTTCCATGACATGCTGGCACGTGCTGGCCCATGCTGTCTCGCTGCTTGCCGGACTCTGCGAGTGCTCGCGGTCAGCTGTGGCACACTCTTATTTGGAAGCACCTTTGGCTTCGCACGCTGCAGTGCACTCTCACAACTGGCATACTATTGCAGGAAGGAAGGACTCTCGAAAAGCTGTCTTCAACAACATGGTCCATTTCATGATTTTAGAAGCTCAGCCCAGAACCCACCAGCAGAGCTCTCTCGTGATCCCGACCCTCGAGGCCTTGTGCACCGCTCACATCTCCGCAAACAGGACATGTTCGACATCCCCCGCCTGGTGGGACACGAGCTGGAGGCAATGAAACAAGACCTTCACGCAAGACCGTAAGTGACCTGACCTTACAGCAAATGTTGCACGCCGATTCAAGCGAGCTATACTGCGGGATCTACGCGTCCATGAGCACCCCGACACCGCCCTTCCCCTTACCTTTTCCTGATGCTCAGGTGTCTTGCTGAGCTTGCGAGTCTTGCTGACGCTGTACATGTCAGTTGGCCTTTTGCAGCCACGCGCCGTGCTGCGTTTCACACGCAGGCAATAACAAGGGCTCGTGATGTCGAGCGAAAACATGGCAGCGGGAGAAGGTCAAAGGATGTAGTCCTTTCCTGTCTCCCGAAGACTTAAAGAAAATCTGGGGGAGAAAGTCTATCTTAAGCAATGCTGTGGTGGCTGCCCGATGCTGACTCTGCTCAGTAAGTGCTGATGGCGAGGATATGCAACTCGAACTGACCCTCCTGCGCAGGCGCTGAACATGCTGATAAGCACTTGTAGAACAAACAGCAACACATCCAAAAGAAGAAACCACAAACCTGAAAAGCTGCATTGCTTGAACCATCGGCGGAGAGGAAGGACAGCATGAAGCCGAAGCCCTGGCACGGGACACTTCGCTGTGTCCCATACATCTGCAATGCACACTTTGCATGAACTGCTTTCAGATACTAAGGCAGCTAAGGGATGCTAAGGGGTGAAGGCACGTCATCTGGTCGCACCACACATAATGCCGCATGATCGAGAAACTTGGGAACGGCAAAACACTGGGCATTGCAAGACAGCTTCCGGAAGGTTGGAAAGGGAATGCATGCAGACCCGACAAAATTTGAGAACCGTCTCCGCCTACTCATCAGAACCACCTACCACGACTGACCATGATCCGCTTGTGCGCCTGGATGTCCTCCAGGTCGCGTCCGCCCAGTCCGCAGCCTGTGCTCTGAAGCTCAAGGCAGCGGCGGAAGCGGCGATCTTCAGAGGTGAGAAAGCGAAGACCAAGACTCCCTTTTCTCTTGGCCAAATGCCTGTACAGCAGCGATCACATAACCGCCTAATCGAGAAGCTTCTGGTTCGGCCGTTGGCGCGGTGAAATTTGTGGACACCGCGGGCATAAAACAACACTACTGCTGGGAAGCTGAACTGGAAGCCTCCCGGATGCACTGGGCCCAGTGAAACGCAACACTGGCTTGACATGAGACAAGAGGTTCAGCAACGATCCTCAAAGGTCATGACTTCGTACGACGCAGTATTCTCGCCTGGATTCCCATCTAGTCAGGCCAGCGTCCACACTATGAACATCCAAGGTCCACCCCTCTCCGTGCCGTAAGCCTGGAAAGGGGCGCTACCTTAGAGAGGCCAGAGTCTGATCGGGCCTCCTCTGTGCCCACATCGATTTTGTCCATTCCACTTCGTTCCACGACCGCTTCAGGGGCTCAGAGGCGCCTGGCTCGGACCGCTTGGGATAAAGTCCTGGAGTTCCTGTTCGCAGTGCCGGCGCTGGCACTGGAGACATCTGGGGACTCGGAGGTTCGCCGGATTCGGCCCACCTTGAGGCCCCAGCTTCAAGCTTACCTGGCACCTGAAGCATCGCCCATCAGCGTCCGGAACTTCTTCGGCTTTCCTTTCAACGCGGTGTTCATCTGCATGCCTGAGAGGAGACAGAGAGACCGCGAGGAACTGGTCAGTCATGTTCAGTCCAACACTGCCCGGGTGCCAAGTCTCATCTCCTGCTTCTGCTGCTCGCGCAAGACGGCAATGACTCGCTTGCCTTCTCGCTGCCTTTGCCTGCACACCAGTCTTGCCCGCCGGCAACGGCATGTCGCTTTGAAGACATCGTGTCTGTGTGTGTTTGCGCATCCCTCGAGGCCTTCGAGTCAGTTCAACCTGGCGCCAAGCACAGAGCATAGCATTGGCAAACAGCCTTTTGCTGCTAACAAGTTCGCGTTGCCACCCGCGCCTTGCCGGCAGCATCGTTGGCCAGCATGAGATGGGCCCTCACACTCTTGCCACCAAGCCGGCCTACCCGAAAAGCATGCGTCTGGCTCCCCACAAAAACCAACATGTCTTCACAAGATCATATGGCCACCTCCGCTAGCGACAAGCTGGCCGTTTCGGGTTCCTGGAAGCCGAAGCAAGCGGCGCGGGCATGCTGCATGTCCGTGCCGATCAACTCCAGCCTCTTTGCCGCCAAATATGAGCAACGTCCCTGTTGCCTGCAACCATACCGTTTGGCAACCTGACAGGAACTTGGGAAAGCTTGGCAAGTATCGTCGCCTCGTCCTCGGCCTCAAGTCACCGTTGTCGAGAACCGTCGCCTGCTGCAGCCCCAGAATTCGCATGACCTGCCAGCATGTCCAACCGGAGCGCGCAGGGTAGTGAGCAGGATTCAGTCGCAAGGCGAGCCTCCTCAAATTCTGCCTCGTCGTCACACTCGACCTAAAGATGGTGCGCCGGACAGTCAGTGATGTTGCTTGGGACGTGGCCAGGCGAGCAGCGATCTCAGTTCCAGAACTATCGTCATCCTCGCTATCATCATCCTCCTCCTCGGAGTCCTGAAAGTGACAGTGGCAGTCTCGCAGTCTCCGCATGCTGCAGCAGGCCAACAGCCATCAAATGCCATCAGGGAGAGAAAACCAAGATTGGCCTCAGCCTCGTCATCCTCCTGCTCCAACTCCTTGCAGAGGCCCACCCTCGAAGATAAACTGGCATCCCAAGAGGCCCCACGGAGGACCCTGAGTCCTTGGAGGCCTCCTGCTTGATTCTCTTCGCTTGGAGGACTGCCTTCCTGGAGGAGAGCTTTTTGGCGAGCAGCTCCTGACATCAGTGCCGCAGTACCTTACGCTCGGTGCCCCCGCCCACTGGCCGCACCTCGAGTATGGCAAAGTGACGCTCGAGGTCAGCAAAGCCTTCGGCATAGAGCTGACCCAGTGCCTCCAAGCGAAGAACCACCACGAGACCCGAGTCGGCTTTTGCACACCCCAGGCCTCCACGCTAAGACCTTGCCTGGGGTCTGCGTTTGCCTGCCGTGGGAGTTCTCGAATCGCTCATTTCAATTCTGTTCTTGCTTCTGTCCGAGTGCCTGCTGGCAGGCAGCTTTGAACATCGATGCTGAGAGCTCGCCGCCCTCCGTCGTGGAAGTAGCCTTCCACAGCTCGGACAGCTCCTTTGAGGTTCAAGCATGCGCAACCATGTTCTGCCAGATGAGGGCAAGTCTCCTCGTAGTTGAGGTAGCCGTCTCGATCTTCGTCGAAAAAGCGGAAAACAGACCTACAGCGGCAGCTGTGGGGCTGCAAGAGCAAGCGCCTCGTAACATGAAAACCAGAGACTACAAACATCATTGCTTGACTCCCACTGCAAGTCGGAAACTCCAAACTCAGTCCCAAGTGCATGGGGGTTTCAAGGCTCGCGAGAGCGGACTTAAGCGCCGCACGCCGCTCTTTGCTCGGGGTCCGTGATTCGCTCCGTAATCTCACCTGGTTCGTGTGACAGCGGACTTGCAGTGCAACGCGAATGCCTCTGGCTTCAATCTCACGCTGAGTGCAGCCGAACGTCGGGTGGAACCGGTGAAATCATAGAACGTCTCCAGCTCCGCTTCTAACTCCTGCTCGCAGTCTTGAGGCTTACGGAGAATCACTCTTGCTCAAGCAACCTGCTTCCACAAGAAGGCTTGGTCTCAAGTGCCGTTTGCAAGACTACAGTGCAGGTTTCAGACATGCGACTCCCGCTCCAGACCCACCCAAAATCAAACGGAAAGAAGCCGCGGTTGTCCTGTGAGCCGAGCTCGTCACGATTGCCTCGCCGAGTTCGTGCTTCGGTGCCGATCCTGGTGTGCGCCTTGTCCTTGGATGCTTCCATGCTCTCAAAGCAGATGCCAAGGGATGGATCCCCAAACAGGACATGGGTCAGAGAAGCCTACAGTCTAAGAAAGGTGGATCCGATGCAGAGAGCTGGACCGCTGCTTGCTCTTGGATGTGGTCTGCAGAAGCGTGTGCACGTGATTCATGCGGGCATCTGTCTGCTGGCATTATCCTTTCTCTTTCGCTTGCTGTTGCAAACTGCTACCTTAGTCGAGTCTAGCGCGTGTCTCGTGAGCTGTGGCTTGATTATCCCGGACATTTTCCAAACATACAGGGCCTGGCCATCATGCCATATGGCAAGTGCGAGCCGGGAGTCCCGCATGTGTCGACGAGTGCTGGCAGCATCTGGAAATCTGCGGTTGCAGAAGATGCAGGTGAAGTCTTCGTTGATCCTGCAAGGGCAATAGCTTCATCTGATGCTTTCGAAGGTCCCAGTTTCGACCAAGGCCCGAGCTTCTTCCACAGATGCTCCAGCAGGCCCTCTACGTTGACGCAGTACTCCCGGTCAGGGATGAAGAAGCTGTAGGTCTTCCACCTACTACATCCTACTACCACATGACATGCCAAGATCCGGAGCGGCCCTTGTCGTAGAGAGCTCTGCAGCCGCGCGGCATGTAAGCCAAGTTATCCTCTACCGACTTGAAGTGTCGACGGTCAAAGAGACATTGGAGAGGAGAGAAGGTCGCGGGCACCTGCAAGGACACCCGAGAGATTCACTTGAGGGGTGTGCAAGCGGTGCATCCGAGAAGTGCCTCCTCTTCTTCTTTGGCCACAGCTGGACTCACCGAGTCGGCCGGGTAGCCTGCGGGCAAACTCATTTCATGCGCGGCCTTGGGGTCGCTGCGAGCCGGCATCTGCGTTACGCTCACACATCGGACTAGTCCTGCAGCTGTCGGCCCTTCTGCTGGCTTGCGGTGTACCTCAGGTGGCAACATCAGCTTGCACAGCTGGTCCGGCCCCGCTTCACTCGCACCTGTCCGACCCTGTAAGGCAGTCTAGGTAGGCCTAGGGCTCCCGGCCTTTCCCGCTTTCAGATGTGCGGTTCCTTTGGTGTTCTCGCCACCCTCTCGTTCTCGAAGCTTCCGCTCCCAAGCTTCCTTCAATGCTCTGTAACGCATGCCAAGCACTCGTACTTCAAACACGACGAGTCTGCACTGCGAACCGCGGAAGTAAAGGATGTTCTGAGCCCGGAGGCAGACAAGCTGGGCAAGCAAAAAGCAGCACTGCAGCCCGGAGTCTTGCGAAATGGGCTTCAAACCGTTCAGCTTTCGCTTCATGTTGTACCTCAGGCTGCCCCGAGAGAACTTTAGGTCCAGAGGTGCAGATATCGCCCAAACGGCCGAATGCGGGCCGAGGTGCACATATCGCTCGGACTTGTAGTGCGCGCGAAGCTCCGCGGCGGTGCTGAAGGTCTCCACATACTCACGAATTCGATCTACGAGTGTCTGAGTAGCTTCATAAGCATAGCAAGTCCCACGGACTGGGCCGGATGGTCCTAAAGCCCTGCCTCACCAGATGCAGCACAGTGAAACTCGCCAGGCACTGCACTGGGAACCTCGCCACTTGCTGATGCGACTCTTTTGCATCATGGCTGAGTTTCCGCGATTGCAGCGAGTTAAGGCCATCCAGCGGATCTAACCGGACGTTGACAGTTAAGTTGCGGGCAGGTTTGGACATCTTTAGTGCCTCTGCGACACCAACCCTTACGATGCAGTATCAGCCTCCCAAGTGTCAGACACAGCTACAGTAGCATTCGGAACGCTGTGGCCATCGTCAGCATCGTGGGGCACATTGTCATGAGCGAGCCCTCTCAGCAGCCTCTAGACTGCATGTTGAACAATGAGCTCCAGCCGCCTGGCTCCCACCAAGAATATAGTTCTAAATATCCAGAACCTTGCACACTAAGCCCCGTATCAACGGAAGCTAGCCAGGGCAAGCATGAGTCGGCACATTGGCCCCCACGAGCTGCGAGTAGGAACCCACTTCACCTCACTCTGCTGTATTAGGCAATGACATCAACATTATTGGGTGTTGGTTTCACTGGTTACAACGCACTCAAAAGTGAGCACAATGGAAGGCCTCCATGGCCTTTGGCGGACAAAAGTCCACCATGGCCATGCTGCGAGAAGCCAGGAAACACCGAACCGTTGAACCCCCCCCTTCGAGCCAATGCTTTTGGAGCGAGCTCGTGGCACGACGCAGCAATTGGAGTTGCAACAGCACGGCTCCTGCAACCTTGCTAAGCCCTAGCCTTAGCATGCGGCCTCCGACGACACGCCCACGCCAGGTCGGCCACATAGCTGACAAGGGAACCCGAATGTCCTGAACCCCGACGCTGCAACGAACCCTCACACCGCTCAGCTGTCTCAGATCGTGCGCGGTGCCGCACATACCACCATGCCATTTTGCACACTCCACTTCTCGCAGCAATCTGAAAGTCCATTCAGTGCAGCAGCGCTATATACATGCCGGCCGTTCTAGGCTTCTTTGCACTGGCTTCTCCGCACTGGCAAGAACGACTTCGCTGATTCCGGCAGTGGTCATTGCAATCTTCCCAAAAGCTCAAGCTCAGTACCATTGCTGCGCAGGAGTCGAAGCTGCATTATATGTCTGCCTGGGCGAAACACACTTGAGTGTCAAACGTGCCAAGGCTGCCTCCATCCTTATCCTGCGTACGCTCTACAGCAAAGATGCCTGACCTCACTCGTATCATTCAATGCAGATGTGAATGTGCACCCGATTTCGATCAACAGAAAAGCCGAGATGCTCTGTTCCCCCTCCCATTCCTTCGCAGCAACTCAGGATTGAGATTGTAGGAGCAAGACCGAACAAACACAACCCCAGTGCCCACACCACGTGTCCTCCAAGTGCCGCGGCCTCGTCGGATGCTACTATACGTGACAAAGTGCCATTGCCAAACCACCAACATGCGCCTGTGCATACAACGCGGCCCAGATCGCGTTCATGTCAATGTTGGGGGCACCTTGTACCGACTGGCTCACACACGAGCACGGGCCGAACCAAAAACCTGACATAAGCATCCGGCCGCCCTTTCCCCCATCGTAGGGTCCGGCCCCGTGACCCTTTCCTGGGCGAGGTGATGCATAGTACATGAGCAGGGCTGGCTACCGAATGGTAGAACAAGCTCCGAATCGCGCCTCCAGTTGGAGCCTTGCCATAACCTCCATAGGATTTCCCGTAGCCACCTGGCCAGGATGAACGCTATGTGCAATTAAGCATAGCGGTTGCACTGCCTACGTGGCCTTTGCCACCGCCTCCTTTGCTGGGGTCGCCGGGTGCGTCGATGGTCACTCGAACTGCCTGACACAACGATGCTGGAGCCCATAACGATTTCCTCGGGCTGGCAGCTCTTCCTTCCAAAGTCCACTTGACTTCGCGCCTTCGTCTTGCCATTCCGGTCATTAATCTCCAGGTCGTAGCTCATCCTTGCTCCGGGGATCATGTCGCCCTCGCCTCGCAGATAGTGAACACATGGACATGTGTACAGAGCCTTTGGGGTGACTTGCTGGGTTCTTTTTGGACAAGACACCGCCGTTGGTGACTGCCTGGAAATGAATGAAGACATCTTCACTTCCATCATCAGGAGATATGTAGCCTTGGCGGGTTATTGTCTGCTGTCTGATGGATACATTGCCTTGGCGTCTGTCAGCAAGGAGACTACCATCAAGCAAATCAAGGAAGCCAACCAGTCCGAGCTTAAGATCTGCTGTGCATCCTTTCGCTCCAAGTCACCTATGCCCTTCTCGGGAAAAAACTTCTTCAGCGTGCCTGTCCTAAGTTGTAAACACTTTGACATGCAGACAAAAAACCCTGCACCGCTGCATCCTGAGCCATCCCTGCAAGCAAATTCAATTGCCTCCAAGACTCTGAGCCATGGCAATGGTCGACGTGCAAAATCGGGGCACAAACAAGCCCTGAATCCTTCAGCCCGTCCGAGAGTTCCCGGCCTGGACCCTACTCCAACAAGGACCTGAAAATAGGCAGCTCCAGAGAAAAGTGCTTACTTAGTTTGTACAGTTGTGCATGTGCCCGTAATCTTGAACGAGTGTATCGGAACTCTCACAGGCTAGGGAACGGCTTGGATCAAAAATCGGCAGCAGCCAGGGACATGCAGAATCACCGCAAGCTAGAGTGGCTACAGACAACAGTAGCGGTCTTCGCGAAGACTGCCCGTCAAGGGACTGCTCAGTGGACAACAACAACGACGACGACGACAACAACAACAACAAGAACAAGAATTGCACTTTACATCACTTTATCCTTGCGAGTCCTGGGGCGCGTTGGCCTCGCTGACCATGAAGTCCTGCAGCGAGAGCTAGAACATAGGAGGGCAAGGGACACAGGCGGTATAACTCGGTATAATCTTGGCATAATCGTCCCTAGGTCTGCATATGGGATCAAACTCTCTTGCGCACAAAAACCTTCACTACTGCGAACTGACGAAATTGCCAGGCATCCAGCTCAAATGTCACAATGGACTCGCCACACAATGCGAAAGTAAGTGCAGCTGCTGCCCAACTTACCAACAGCGACAGAAGTGATCTCTGCCGCTGAAACTGAGATTGTGTTGCCGAAACAGATTTGACATGCAAGTTTGAAGCAGCCAGCAAGCTCACATTCTCAGGTGTCAGGACTTGAGGGGCGGAGCCAGGGGAACGAAAGCCAGCCACCAGAGCTGCCCAGGCAGGCTCCAGGCATCATCACATCCAACCACATCAGCAACGGGAAGGCAAACAGAGCTGACGAGGCGGGCAATCAGGAGGTGAAGCAAAGCTGGCGAGGCAGGCTCCAGGCATCCTCACATGCAACCAGAACCGCATCAGCAACGTGGGGGAAACAGAGATGGCATCATCACCTCCGGCACATCCAACCACAACAACTCAGCAGCGTGGGGACGGTAGCGGGAGCAGCGAGAGAGGGGGAGAGGGCGAGAGGGTGCGGGAAGGGAGGGGGGGGTGGCATGTGCCTGTTTTGATCGATACATCAATTCTCTTGCGTCTGGGTCGCCCACTGCCTACGCAGATAGAAAAGAAAGCCTCGCTACGCTAGCTTTCGTGACTTAATGCCGCAAGCTTGCATCAAAGAAGACAACTGCAGCTTTCCTCTTGCTTGCCAACAGCGACCCAAAAAACGATCTCCCACGTTTCCTTCGTGGCAATCTTACCACACAAG